TATATTGGGTTTCTATTTTCTGGGGCATTGTTGACAAGAGAAATTGATCCAATTATTGTTTAATGCTGTATGGCGTTCGCTATGTACAGTATACATGTGAGTGTATGAAAATGAAAATAAAAGAGAAATGTTAAAAAAAAAGAACTATAACCAATCTCTTTATTAAACGTGGATTATAAAATCTTTGCATTGATCATGGCGGAAAGACTTAAAAGACTGTTAAGTGAATTTATATACTCAGATCAAACTGGCTTTTTACCCATGAAACAAATTAGAGATAATATGCAAATTATATTGAATTCATTAGAATACTATGAAGTACACCTTGGAAAACAAATGGCATTGTTATTTTTGGATGCACCAAAAGGTTTTAATAATCTAAATTGGCAATTCATGTGTTGTGGCCCAACAGTAGCCGGCTGAGCTGTTACTGGAATCTGACAACGCTGAACACTATGGGACTGCCCTGGAGGTTGAGGAAGACTCTGGGGAGTGTTCAGAGTCAGAGCAGGGACTAGAGAGGCCTGTTGGCCACCAGGTGGCATCTGAGTCAGGGAGCCGTGAGGAAGAACAGAGGGAGGCTGTCCCTGACGTATGTATGCATAGGACTGTGAGGAGAAGGAAGCAGCTTTGGAAAAAGGGTCAGAGAAGGAAATAGGAACAGGTGGCTACTGATTGGCCCCTCCCAGAGAGCTTATAGGTGGGGCAACGGGAGGATAATTTTGCAGGAAACAACAATTTACTGATCCAGCTGTAGAGAAAGATCAGGAGAATTTCGTGAGTTCAAGCCTTGTTTCATAGAGATAGCTTTCTTGGCTCCCAGCCAAGGGGTTGCTTATCTCCCTCCTTAGTTGTGGCAGACAGCAAAGTCTGTGTCCATATATATTGTAGAGGCTTGGGACAGAACAGTTTGTTTCTTGCCCTCTAAAACAGATTTAAATATAATTTAAAATGGAGCAGCTTCGTGCAGAAAACGCACAGCTCACGCAACAGGTAGCTGTGCTGGCTGCCCAGGTGGCTCAGCTCCAAGTTCACACTGCTCCACTAGCGCCTCAGAGGAAATGCCCAGTTGCAGTGCCTGATAAATTCGATGGCAACCAAGCCATGTTTCCGGCTTTTGTGGGACAATGCCACCTGTTTATCAGCTTGAGAGCAGAGGATTCCCCACTGACCGAGGTAAAGTGGGGTTTATGATTAGTCTTTTCTCAATCAGATCCGGAGTTGGCCACTTTTTGGACAAAAACCTAGCTCAGGGTTTTATCCGACCCTCCTCTTCGTCCACTGTCTGAACCAGTCTTGTTCCTCCCAGAGACCTATAAGATCGCACAGATTAGGCCTCCTCCAGATTCCATCTGCCAGTCATTGTCGGCTGGTGACTCCTCAGGGGAGGGCCTTCTCTGTAGCTGCTCTGGCCCTATGGAACAATCTCCCCGTGGAGATCCGGACCCTTACTACTCTTCCAGCCTTCCGCAAAATGATTAAGACCTGGCTGTTCCGGCAGGCCTGGGGCTGTTGATTTATCCAGCCCCATCCTAAGTTATATGAACGTCGTGCAATTTTAATGTCTGTTTTTTTAATTTTTATATGTTCCCCCTCCCTGTTTTCATCTGTAAGCCGCCCTGAGTCTCTCTTGAGTGGGCGGCATACAAATCCTAATAAACCGTAAGCCGTTCGTAAAAAGAAGACCGGAGATTTGAGACTATATTGTGACTACCGTAAACTTAATTATATCATGGTATGCAATCGATATCCTCTGCCCTTATTCCTGAACTGTTGGAGCGGCTCAGAGAGGCTACAATTTTCATGAAATTGGATCTGCGTGGAACCTATAATCTTGTCCGGATCTGGCCCTGGAATGAATGGAAGACGGTATTCGGCACCAGGGCTTTTTGAGTATATGGTCATGCCTTTTAGGCTGACCAACACCCCTGCCGTCTTCCAACATTTTATGAACAACATCTTCTGGGACCTTTTGGACCAGTTTGTCGTTATTTATCTAGATGACATTCTAATTTACTCATCTTCCCGGGAGAGTCATCGGCAGCACTTATGCCTAGTCCTACAACAGCTCTGTGAAAATCGCTTGTATGTGAAACTGGAGAAATGCCAGTTTTGGCAGTCCACCATCAAGTTCCTGGGGCATCGTATCTCTCCTAAAGGCATTGCGATGGAGCCGGGCAAGGTAGTCTTTGCGTAATTGGCAACCTCCTTGGTGAGTGAAGGATGTCCAACGACTCCTCGGGTTTGCCAACTATTATCGGACCTTTCTCCACAGCTTTGCTTCCCTGACTTCGCCCCTCACTCGGCTCCTTCAGAAGAAAGTTCCATGTCACTGGAGTGCCGCTGACCATCAAGCGTTCCAGGCCTTGAAGCAAGCCTTCATGAAAGAGCCCATCTTGAGGCATCCTGACCTCCATTTGTAGTGGAGGCAGATGCATCAGATATCGCTGTTGGAACGGTATTACTTCAGGCTCACGCCTCCGGCGGTATCCTCTTCCCTTGCACTTATTATTCACGGAAACTCAACTCTTCTGAGCGCAATTATACTATTTGGGAGAAGGAGTTACTAGCCAATAAGGTGGTGTTTGAGGCCTGGAGGCATCATTTAGAGGGGGCCAGACATCAAATTGAAGTCCGGATGGACCATAGAAATTTGGAATTTTGAAAGACCGCATGAAAATTGAACCAGCGCCAGATTCGGTGGTCCCTCTTCTTTGCACAGTTCAATTTCCGTGTGACATACATACCCAGTGCGCACAACCAAAGGGCAGATGCATTCTCGCAGAAACCCAAGTATTCTTGTACCAAAGTCCAGATTCCACCCCAGACAGTTTTGCCTGTAGAGTCCTTCTCCATGGTTCAGGAGCCTGAGGACTTATGGCCTCAGATACAGGAAGCGCAGCAGCATGACAATTGGGTGGAACAATGGAAAGCAGAAGTGGGGCCTGCCTCCCCATGGACATTCACCAATGAACTCTTGCGGTACCGAGACAGACTCTATGTGCCAGTGGGGCCACTTCGGGGACTTATTCTATCCCAGTGCCATGATAATCCTGTGGCGGGGCACTTTGGCCTCTTCAAGATCTTGAACCTGGTCTCCCGTACTTTCTGGTAGCCCCGATTATGACATGACGTACAATCTTACATCACGTCTTGTGTACAGTATCGGCAGGCCAAGTCAGCGACGGGAGCGCCCCCCCAAGGTTTCTCCAGCCATTGCGAACACCGAAGAGACGCTGGGGGGGCATTTCTATGGGCTTCTTGATGGACTTGCCTCCGTCTTCTGGATTTACCACGGTGTTCGTAGTGGTAGACATGCTGACAAAGATGGCGCATTTTATCCCGTGTCAGAGATTACCGACAGACCGCACCACCACCCACGTGTTTATCCAACATGTTTTCAGGCTGCACAGCCTACCTGACAGGATCATATCAGACAGGGGAACACAATTTACAACCCAGTTTTGGAAAGGGCTGATGAAGGCCTTGGATGTAAAAATCTGCTTGTCCTCATTCAGAAACTGTCATTCAGAAACTGACGGAGAGACAGAGAAAGTGATCAGGATCTTGGAGTAGTACCTGCACTGCTTTGTGAACCAGCAGCAAAATGATTGGGCGGACTACCTGGCAGTGGCGGAGTTTGTGTTCAATAACTCACAGCACACATCCACGCAAATGACGCCCTTCTTGGCCGGTGTAGGGTATCATCCTCAGTTCTTTCACCTCACACCCATCAATTCACCGGTCCCCGCAGCTAAGGACTTTTTGTCAGAACTACAGGTGGCCCATCAAGTGGTGCGATGATATCTGGGTAAAGCCAAGGAGGATTATAAGAGAGTTGTGGACAAGTCTCATCGCGCGACGCCGGTGTTGACTATAGGGGGTCAAGTGTGGCTGTCCACTAGACACCTTCTCTCAGACCGGCCATCAAGAAGTTAGACCACCGTTGCCTTGGCCTGTTTCCTGTTGAAGCAATCATCAATCCGGTCGCCTAGCACCTGACGTTGCCACATTCGATGCGAGTCCATCTGGTCTTTCATCAATCTCTCCTTGTTCCTGAATGGCTGGCTTGTCCTCTTCGCCAACCAGATCATCCTCAGACAGAACCTCGTGACAATGAGGAGCTGCCCGAGTATGAAGTTGCCAGCATCTGAGATTCCCGATGGCTGAAAGGATGGTTCCAATACCTGATTGAATGGAAGGGCTGGAGGATTTTACCTGGCAGGATGCGACCTACGGGCACGCACCTGTTTTGGTGCAGGCCTTCCATGAGCAATTCCCATCTAGGCCACACTCTGAGTGTCAGACCCGGAGGAAGGGCCCTGCGGTGAGGGATAGTGTTGTGGCCCAACAGTGGCCGGCTGAGCTGTTGGTGGAATCTGACAACGATGAACACTATGGGACTGCCCTGGAGGCTGAGAAAGACTCTGGGAGTGGTGGTGTTCGGAGTCAGAGCAGGGACTAGAGAGGCCTGTTGATCACCAGATGGCATCTGAGTCAGGGAGCAGTGCGGAAGAACAGAGGGAAGCTGTCCCTGACGTAGGTATGCATAGGGCTGTGAGGAGGAGGAAGCAGCTTTGGAAAAAGGGTCAAAAAAGGAAATAGGAACAGGTGACTACTGATTGGCCCCTCCTGGAGAGCTCATAGGAGGGGCAACGGGAGGAGAATTTTGCAGGAAACAACAATTTACTGATCCAGCCGTAGAGAAAGATTGGGAGAATTTCATGAGTTCAAGCCATGTTTCATAGATAGCTTTCTGGGCTTCCAGCCAAGGGATTATTTATCTCCCTCCTTACTTGTGGCAGACAGCCAGGTCTGCATCCATATATATTGTAGAGGCTTGGGACAGAACATCATGATAATGCAACTGCAAATGATGTATTTGTAGGAGGGATTTATAAATATGGTTAAAACTATTTACAAAGAACAACAGGCTAAAATGATGGTAAATGGAGATATGACAGAAAAAGTGCCAATTAGAAAAGAGACCAGGCAAGGGTCTTATTCATATTGACACTAGAAGTTTTGAACAAAAAGATAAAGATATAAAAGGAATGAAAGTTAAAAAGAAAGAATATAAATTGCAAGCATTTGCAAACGACTTGGTATTTATTATTGAAGATCCAATATAAACAAGTCCAAAACTACTAGAACAAATAGAAGAGTATGGAGGAGTGGCAGAATTGAAAATTAATAAAGATAAAACAAAAAAAATTAGTGAAAACTATAACAGAAAAACAGAAAAGAGAAATAATGGAGTATAGATATTTAAATAGTAAAAAATAATGAAATATTTGGGAATATTTAACTATTAAGGAAGATAATTATTATAAACTAAGAAATCAAATTGAAGTGGATATAGAGAAATGGAAAAACTTTCAGCTATCACTAATGGGAAGAATAGTGGTAATTAAGATGAATATATTATTTTTATTTCAAACAATACCAATAAAACTGGGAAAAAGTATTTTAAAAAACTAAATAAAATAATAGGAAAATATATTTGGCAAGGAAAGAAAGCAACAATTAAAGTAAGAATGCTACAAGATTCTAGGATTAGAGGTGGATTTGGTGTACCGAATTGGGAATCAAGCTCTAATGTGGATAAAAGAATTAATATTACTAAGAAATGCAAGGTTATTATCCTTGGAGGGACACGATATGTAACTGGGTTGGTACGCATTTTTGTGGTATGGGAAAAATAGAATACATGGTTATTTTCAGAGACACTATGTAAGAAATGGTTTATAGGCAGTATGGGAAAAAGTAAAAGAAAAGCACTATATGGAAAGCTTTGACATCCGAATATTAGTAATATGAAAAAGGTTATTAGGTACAAAGATAGCACAGCATAGGAAAAACCAAAACAGAAGAAAGAATTAGAGGAACAAGAGATTGATATAGGATGGTTTAAACAAATGCAAATACAAACAAGATATGAGAAAGATATTAAAGAGTATGGTTTTAATATGGAAAATTCAGAATTAGATAGGATACTCATGGGAATAGATGAAAAACTGATTAAAAATTATACAGTTATATATGATAAAATGAGCAAAAAACTTTAGATATACAATAGAACTAGAAAAATGGCAACAACTATGGGAAAGGAATTATAATCCGACAATGGCGATAGCATATAAAGAGAATTTATATAAAATGTTTTATAGATGGCACGTAACACCTGAAAGATTAGCAAAAATGTTTACGGATAAATGAGTTAAATGTTGGAAATGTCACCAATTGCCAGGAACGTATTATTATATGTGGTGGGTGTGTAGGGATGCAAAAAGCTATTGGGTTAAAATACAAACATGGTTAGAGAAAATGATACATAAACCTGTAGAGTTTAAGCCAGAGGTATTTTTATTGGAAATTCTACCAGAGAAATATAGTAAAGAAGATTCATATTTGATTGTACAAATAATAACAGCAACTAGAATTGTATTTGCACAAAACTGAAAAGCAGACAAAATCCCATTGGAAGGGGAGGTAATAAAGAAGATATTAGACTGTGCAGAAATGAATAGGTTGACATTGAGAATAAAGGACAAAGAGGAATCAGTGTACTACAGGACATGGGGGTGATTTTATGAGTGGCTTGAAAAAAGATATAAATAGAAAGAAAAAGGAACAAAACATGAAATAAATATCTCAGATGACATATGATTAAAATAGGGGGAGGGGAAATAGGAAAATATCAAAATATAAATATACAGGCAGAAAAATGATATGAATTGATATATGTTAAATAACAATTATAAGAATGTATATTTAAGAATGAATTTGGAAGGAAAAATAAAAAACTTTTTACAAAAAAAAAAGAAGCCCGCTTGGCAGGGATGGAGGAAAGCTCCGGCCCGACTGTCCTCACCACCACCACCCCATTGTCCCTGGCAGCAACAGTTCTCATGCTGCTGCTTCACTGCTTGGGCAAGAAGCCTGCTTGGGCGCAAGAAGCCACATGTGCGCAAGAAGCCCGCTTGGGCAGGGAGGGAGGGAAGCCATCACAGCCCTAGATAATAGGGTCAAGATCCAAATGGATCTTGACAGACTTGAACACTAGACTCTATCTAACAAAATAGAATTCAATGTAGAGAAAAATCTTATATTTAGGCAAGAAAAACCAAAAGTACACATACAGAGTAAGTGAAACCAGATTTAATAGCAGTAACTGTGAGAGAGATCTTGAAGTCTTAGTGAACAGCCAGTTAAATATGAGCCAGCAGTGTGCAGTGGCTGCCAAAAACACCAGTGCACTCCCAAGTTGCATTAACAGAGGCATACAATCAAGATCAAGTGAGGTACTAATACCACTCTATAAAGCTCTAATAAGACCACACCTAGAGTACTGCATCCAGTTTTGGTCACCACACTATAAAAAAGATATTGAGACTCTAGTCTAAAAAAACCGTAGAGAAGAGCAACCAGGATGATTAAGGGACAAATGAGTAAAACATATGAAAAATGGTTACAGGAGCTGGGCATGAATAGTCTAGTGAAGAGAAGAACCAGGGGAGACATGATAGCAGTGTTCCAATATTTGAGGGACTGCCACAGAAAGGAAGTGGTCAGGCTATTTTCCAAGGCACTTGAAGGCCAGACAAGGAATAATGGATAGAAACTGACCAAGGAGAAATTCAACCTAGAAATAAGGATACATTTTCTGACAGTGAGAACAATCCACCAATATAACAGCTTGACTTCAGAAGTTGTTGGAGCTTCATCATTGGAGGCTTTCAAGAAAAGATTGAACTGCTATTTGTCAGAAATGGTGTAGGGGGGTTGCTTGGATGGGGGGGTGGACTAAATGACCTTCAAGGTCCCTTCCAATTCTGTTAATCTGTTAAAAACTGATTTTGGCTTACCAAAAGCATGTTCCTGAATAAAATGTGTTCCTGAATAAAATAAACAAATGCATTACATAGACTAGTGGCTCCCAACCTTTTGGGCACCAGGGACCAGTTCCATGGAGAAAGTTTTTCCAAGAACTGAAGGGGATGTGGTTTTGTGTGCTGCCTGCATCCCTTGAAGGGCCTTTGTACAGCCCAGTTGCTGGCATGCCATGTGTTGGTCCACAGACACGGTGTTGGGAACTCCTGATATAGACCACAGACTATATCTTCTGATTATTCTTTATTGAAGAAAATAATTATTACCTGAACTGCAAACATTTGACAGTTCTGATCATCATCTTATGATGCTACATTTTCAATGACTGCAACCATAAATCTCAGGTGAATTCCTGTCTTCAGGGGTCTGAGAGTTTCAATGTTACTTACATTTGAATAGCATCAAGGCCTGCCATTTTCATCTTCAAGAGACGATCCTTCCAGTAGAAACGGGGAATCCGGGCATAATGGATGCTGCCTGAAATGTAGCGGAATGGTTTCCCATCCTTAAGGAAACAGTTGCGAGCATAGTCAATTTCAAAGTTTCTCTGGTGTGTAACCTATGAAAGAAAATTATTTAGACAAAAACTTCAATTTGCAAACAGTGGAGGGCAATATATAATTTAATAATTGTGTGAAAAAATCACCCTTGTTAAATAGAAATCGTGTCAATTTTAACCTTAACATTAATGTTCAACATAATTCATTCAGCCCCAGGATGATTTGTGCCATAAATTTTACCACAGCAGACACCTATTTTGACTGTATTTAAATTTTGGAAAAATGTAACGTATCATTACTAATATAAATTCAGTGGCTGTACAAAAATTGGATTTTGATCCTTGGGTTTCCTTTTGTCTAAGAGAACAACTTACAGTAAATTATCAAAAAGCTAAAGTGTTAATGTTTGACAATACGAAAGTAGGTTATATAAATGGCAAGTTAACAGGACAGCAATAAAACAAGCATGTTCTTATAAATATCTTGGGGTGCAGCTCAAGGCTTCCTAATCTTGGAGTGCACATTATTCTTATATGGCCCAGCAAAGTTTCCTAGCTGTCTTAAAATTCTGGTCAAAGTAGGAATATTTTATTCCTATAGTTTGCATGGTTTTTGCTTGCTAAGGTTATCTCTCAGCTTCTTTATGGCATTCAAAATTGCATTTTTACAAAGTTTAATTTCCTGAAAGCTATACAGTCCAAATTTATAGGAACAATATTTGTAGTTCCAAGATACACTAAGAATGTTGTTTTACAATTAGAGACAGGTTTGGTTTCTATGGGTGCTCGAGTCTGGTTGAATATTTTTTTTCCTCCTTGAGCCTGGTTCCATTGATTCTTAGGGACTGTTGTAAACCCGATTAACAAAAGTTAATAAAAACCTCCAGTCCTTGGAATTTTCTCTGGAAAGCTTCTGTCCATTAGGGCTTTGAAATGTCAGGAGCCATCTAAACTATCAATTTGGGGTATTGATTTTCAAACCGTAATATTCCAGTACTAGTACAAACCTACAGTTTCTGAATTCTTCTAAGATGGACATTTCTTTCTCTTTCCTCTCTTTAGTTCTTATTCATAAATTTCATCAGGTTTTCCTCTTGGCCAGGTTGGATGCACTATCATTCTCAATTCTGTGGGACAGTATAAAAACATCCCTTTCAGCAGACCTTATGTGGAGATGGTTATTTGGAATTGCTAAGCCATATGTTCCTTTGTTACACTCCCTTTATCATATCTATATCTAATTATGGGGAAAATATTTATCCCATTTTAAAGAATAACCTTGATAGAGGGCACAATGTCTATCTGTCACTGTTTCTATTTGGCCAGCACTCTAATGTATCTTTCCAGGTTGCTCAATTTTGGGCAAACATTTGTTTTATCTGTTTGACTTATAATTGAAGTTGTAGCAATTGTCATTGTTATTTATCCTACAGTTACTATAACAAAAAATGTTATGTCATTTTATTCCATTTTTAAAGTTTTATAATAATTACAGTCTATGTATTTTATTTTTATGCTTTCCCAAAGGCCATAAAAGTTTTATTTGATAATGTAATCTTATATTCTTTTAATCTTCTAAATCATTTGCTTTTTTCATTTTTATTAAAACAAATATATATGGATTTCATTAACTTAAATTCATTTTTATTATTCATATTGTTTTAATTTACATTTATAATAAAAGGCATGAAAAGTAAGATACCGTTTCATAAATTTAAACTACTCTAATGGAAATCAACTTCTCAATTAACATTTTCCAAATTAGATTGTAAGTATTCAATTTGGCTTGCTGAATTTGTAAAACAGGTTGTCTTTGACACATGACCACAATTGAGCCCAGAATTTCAGTCATACACATTCTAATTTTTAAGCAAGATGCCCACGTGGCAGCTTCCCTTAATGACAACAATTCTGGCTATCCCAGTTGTGGTCATTAAGCAATTGCAGGGATCATTAAGTAGAACATGTGGGTACCTCCAGAGGTAGGGGAGCCCTGGGAAATTTCATGTAAATCACGTACAAAATGGAATAGTAGTGCAGTGTGACACACAGCTACAGTCAACCCAACAGGGTGTAGCACTTGGCAGCAATGTCAGGTATTGGTCTGAAATAGAGACCTAGTATTTTTCAGCAGTCTGAGCCAGACTCGTAATTCATCCATGTGCCATTGCTTCATTGATGCTAATTTGTTCTAATGGTTAAAGCACCAGACTAGAAAACAGGAGACCATGAATTCAAGTGACACCCTAGCTATGAAAGCCATCTGAGTGACCTTGGGCAGTCTCTCAGCTCACCTCACCTCATAGCGTTGTTGTTATGCTAAAAATGAACATGTAGGATATTATGGGATACAAATATATAACATGTTTGACTACATGTAACTGGTTTCCTATGCAATGGGGAGGCTACTTTTATCCTATCCAATCAACTTTCCTCTTGCATTTTCTTTGTTGTGTTAATTATAAAAAGGAATGAAAACAGAGCTCGAGGTTCTCTCTTTCCTTTTTCATAGAGAGATCCCACTTTATCAGGGTAATGTAATAAACTGCTTTTAAATGATCTTCTGATTCACTTGGTTATTGAGAAGGTAAATTGAAGCAGATTTGGCTTTCAGTGAAGTAAGTGTGCCATTCCCCAAGGTTTGCATATCTTTGAGAATACGTGGGGGGGGGGGCTTTTTGTGTGGCACTGACAGCACTAGGACTGAAATAGAGGCCTGGTGTAGTGACAGCTGAAGACACCAGGCTCTATTTTAGGCCCATCATGGCAGTCTAAATCAGGGGGAGATAGGTGGGTATGGGAGCTGCAATATTTCTGCAGTTCTAAGGGCAAGTCTATTGCCAAATGTCCAAATGTTTAGCTCATAATCACAGGAACACTGCAATCTGGACATGGGTCATAAATTTGTTTAATCTTATCATATTTGTGAAAAGTTATTATGGGCTGTATTTTATTTTTGGAAAAGTGGAGATGTTTCCTAAAATAAAACAGTATCACTGTAAAATCTGACAATTTTAATCTAATGCCTTTCCCACTATGCCAAAGAAAAGATAATTTCTTTATTTCTCCATCAATTATCAATTAATACTATGTTTAAAAGTAGCTCCAACAATAATACAAATAAAATCATAATAAGCCACAAAAAGAATACTACATATTTTAAACTGATTTATAAGAAAATATAATGTTCTTTATAAAAATGTTATTTTTGGTACCTGTGATATCTGACAAAATCATTAAGTATGACTGTTGCCTGAAAAATTGTTAGTCCTTTCTCCAAACCTTACATAATGGTTCCTACCTTTGTCCAGTCTAAAAAAGGTCCTCAGTTTATACCTAGCCACTCATTATGTTGAGTGAACTTAACTAATGCTTTCCATTTTTCCACATATAGTGGAGCTTTTGGTCACAACTTTTGCAATACATATCAGGGGTTCTTATGGTATCTCAAGAACCTAGAACTATGTCATAATAATTTCAGATGCATGATATAAAAACATCATATATTATGTAGCTGAAATGATGGATGAAATAGACTGTGATCTACAAAGACTTAGGCCTGTGATGGCAAACCTATGGCACAAATGCCAGCTGATTTTGGGGCATTTGCCGCACATGCGGGAGCCGTGTGCACATAGGCACATAGAAGTAACATGCACATGTGCAGAGGGTTGTGTGCGCAGGTGTGGAGCAAGCCCCCACACATTTTTTTCTTTCAGGAGGCTTCAGGGAGGCTTGCTAGGCCCAAACGGGGCGCGGGAGGCACACATTCATGGGGTGTGTGGGGTTGTGTGAACAGGGGGCATGCACACACATATTGTCATGCGCATGGACACAATTTTGGCACATGAAGACAAAAAGGTTAGCCATCACTGACTTAGGCCATAATACATTTTTTAAACATTAAAAGTTACAAAATCCTTTGCTGAATGTGGCAGCAGACTTTCCTAGCAGAAGGCTTTAATGAACATTAGAGTTGTGCGCTATGTCTTGATTACTTTTCTGAACATCTCATTCACAGATTAAGCATACATATATAATAATCTAAACAGCCCTCCATTTTACTGTGGAGACACATACACATTCTCCTTCTCCGTTACAATCCTATTTCAGCAAATTTTACAAAATTGCAATGTATAGTTTACCTATCAGTTTTTCTCGTTATGTGATCTCCTTCTCTTTCTATAACATTCAAGAGATAAACACATACATGCATTAATTCTCTATTACATCCTATATAATGAGTTAAAGCTGAACTTAGAATCAGTTCAGGTTTAACTCTAGAATGTATTGCCTCTAGTTACTTATCAATTTTCAATCTGTAGCCAGTATATATTACAGTGAGGGATACAAAACATGTAATTTTTAAAATGTTGTTAAGCTTGGCTCCCAAGCATCCCTCACCTTTTATTAAGTTGGCAGAAATTGTCAAAAGGAAGATGCCAGCCTCTGCTTTGCTGTTGCTTCGGCTGCCATGAAACGGGGAGGGAGGGCATGGTATTTGGGAGGGG